ATGTTGATGGCAATCAATGAGGACCGCATGACACCTCCTGGAAAACTTCTGATTGCTTTTCCAATTCCGGTTTGCATTCGGACTAATCATCTGCATCCTTTATTTCAGGAGGACAGTGTGTCATGCTGCGAGGGTCTCTCTTTCTCTCTCCTCTCTCTCTCTCTCTCTCTATAGAGAAAACTAAGTTGTTAACTCAAATGTTGTTGATAAATGTAGGTTTTTTGTGGAGATTGTTTTATAGAATGTAGTAGACTGCGAAAAAGATAATTATTATTATTTATTATTATTATTATTATTATTATTATTATTATTATTATTATTATTATTATTGTTATTCATTCATTCATTCGTTCGTTCATTTTCTTTTCAGCTTAGTCCATTTATAAGCCAACTTATCCAGCAGTTTTTACACAGCGGATGCCCTTCCAGCGGCAACCCATCACAGGGAATTATTATTTTCCCGGTTCTGGGTTGCAGCTGGAAGGGCATCCGCTGCATAAAACATATGCTGGATTAGTTGCCGGTTCATTCCACTGTGGCAAACTCTGATGAATAAATAGACTAATCAAAAAGGAATTTAATTAATAATTAATCAATATTCTTATTTTATTTAGGTTTTTTTTTTTTGTATTAAAGGATATGTTTTTAGATTTCAAGGAAATGTCACTCCTAATTTGTTTATTTTGGGAATGAAGAACCAAAAACAAAGGGTGCGGTGGCAGAAATAGGAGGAAAAGCATAATCGAAATGTGGGACTTCTTTTTAAAGCATATTTAAAGGCGAGTGTGGAGTTTAAGTATTGCAGTTGAATGAATGACATGGAGTCTTTTAAATTAAAGTGATAATGATGATGATAATAATAATAAATAATAATAATAATAATAATAATAATAATAATAATGTCTGTACTGTAATTGAAGATGAATAAATTTTGAAGTTGTAATGAAATTGCTAGTATGTGATGCAGTGATTTTTGTGGTATTAAATAAAATTGAACGTTTATTTCTAAAAAATAAAAAAAATTATAAAAAAATATTTATAGAGAAACTTTTATTTTTGTTTTGTTTGTTTTGATTTATTTATTTAAGTATAGTGAGAGAAAAATAAATTA